AAGTGCACGGTAGTTTGTGATCAAGACCCGAACAGTGGAAAGGCAGGAGGAGACTTTGACGCACATTCAGGCTCCGAATATGGGGATACATGGCCATGGGAGACTGTAAATTCGATCGAGAATGCATCCAGCAGACACTCCGTCAATGTGATGTACAACGAGCTATATCATATTTAAGAGACTGTTCTGGCTGTACGTCTCTCGCGTCCTCTGCTATGATGTCTCGGCCACGTGCTTCCAAGCCTTGACTAAGTAACAGCATTGGGGGGCATGATCTCAAATCGTGACAGTAAAAAGTTCTTCCAGCATGGCTTGTAAGTGTGCATGCCAAGCGGCATCTTTGAGGAAGCAGGTTCGATTGCTCCCACCTTGCTCCTGCCATCCGAGGACCCCGTTTGCCGCAGACCTTTTACCGCCAGTTTTGAACCTCTCTGAATCAATCACACCGGACTTGGCATGCCTCAGCTGGGTGACTTGTAAAATCGTCTCCTTAAGAGGCAGGCGCCGTTCGCCTTCTACCTTAATTTCGTCGCTTCCCCCTTCCCCGAGCTTGAGTCAAGAACGGGGCTTTATTTGTCTTCAACTGCAAACGACTTCGGCCCACAATCTCCCCAGAAACACTTCACGAGGGGGAGAGTCCTGCGTCTTTCTGGCAGTCACCTCTGCAAAAGGTTTTCTTCCCACATTCTTCTCTGCTGTCATCGTCGATCTTTTTGTTTGCGCACTTCCTGCCTCATAACATCGCCTGTCCTGTATCCAGCCTTGTTGCTAGATACCTACCTACCTTATCCTGCGTTGGCTCCTCCTCCGTCCAACTTGGCAGGAGCAAACGACATTGGTCCCTTTCCTGATTTGAAGAACGCACTTCAAAACCATCTGGCTGCGTTCTTTGCCTCCAGCACCTGACCAGCCAAATCCTACCTGCATCGCGCTTTCTCAATCCAAGTGACCGACCTACCTCTTTTTCAACACTTTTCGGCTACCTGCCTTCTCTTTTTATCCCACTTGCCTCCTCCCACGTACCTCTTCCACCTCACATCTTCAGGCAGGGCACACTCTTCCCCGCCCAGCTTGCTCCCCCCGTCTACCTTCCCACAACAACACTGACTTCGTGGGTGTTGTGACCTTCTCCAATCCCGATACTTTCGTGTTTTTCTGTCGACGCCTTTGTCGCTTTTTTACGACACAAAAACAAACTCGGCATTGTTTACGTCTGCTAAGCCAGCTCTTGCGCTTTTCTCGGCAGTTGGACCTCACAGCCATATCCAAGGTAGGTAACTTCCTAATATTCTTCGCAATGGACGGCAACGATGTGGAAGGCAGTGAGAGGGACAGACACCTTCTGCAGGTGACAACCAGCCCCTCCATCTGCCTACCTAAGGTACTTTACCTGGGTGTAAAGACATGGGGTCTCCTGGGCCGTCGTCCTCTGCCGTCCTCGTCGTTCAGCACCATCATCCCTCACTACTTCACGCTGAGTTTTGTGCTGACCAACACAAGATGGCAGAAATTTCTGGAGAGACGGAGAATGGCTTCCTCAAGGCCACCGGCACTGATGGTGATTCGGCGGAGTCGCACTTTCCGATCCCAGAGTCTGTTCCGGCACGGACGCAGTTTGTGGCCGAGTTCACCGAGACTGCGCAAGCCGCGAACATCGAGCTGCCTTCTTCAGCTTCATCTTCAGAAAGCGGCGAGCCAGCTCCCATGCCTTTCACGCCTCCCGAGGATGGAGTTGCCGGAGCAAGCTTCTTCGTCGACCCTCGACACCTCTCTACGTCTGCAGTGGCTGGACTCGAACCTAGCGACGAGGACTCAGATGACCCGATGGCGGTATGTGTCATAGCCAAGATTTGCCAACTCTGCTAACCCGTTTGACAGGAAAAGAACCGCTGTTGTGGCCCCCGAATGGTTCATTCGTTCAAAGACCAAGAGGAATTCGCCCTGGCTCATCGTGAAGGAACCATCATTGAAATGGCCAATGAGGAGGCTACCTATCGGCGATTCAACACCAGGACAGAGTCTACTCATGCCTGGGTCATGAATGCCCTGCCCCCACCCTCCAGTCTCATCGCTTCGGACTTAGAAACCAGCTGGCTCGTCCTCGTCGAACTGCCGGCGGACCAAGACAAGGTGTTCCCAGCCGAGGAATCTGCTTGTGATATCGGATTCAAGCATGATTTCACGATTGGTGGACATGTCTTCAATCCCGGCATGATGAAAGCCGAGCGTATACCCAACGTGTTCGACAACGGCCAAGATAACGGAAGTATCTTCAACGACTACGCCAGGCATGCGGCTTTCAACGTCACCGCCCCATACATGAAGGATCCTGTCAGCCGTGAGAGGTACCACCCATTGGCAGAAATTGCGGTTTCGCAGCGCTTTGGTGCTCTTCAGTACCCCCCTTTGACTTCTGGGAATGCTGTCATGGTCACTATTCGCGTTGCGGCTCGGCTTGTCACTCATGACACCGAACTGAAAGCATTGTCCACGCTGATGCAGCGTGAGAGAAACCTGAGCGCGCTGGCACAGAGGGCACGCCACACCTTTGATTACATGCTGGATTTCCGGAAACCGCCTACCTTCTACGTCGACCTCTTCAGAGAGCTGCCACATATGGATAACCCAGCGGGCAATCCTCAGACCCCCGCCCACCTCAAGTCTCTCTACAGAGGGCTCAATTCTGACCACAAGAAGGTGTACGAGCAATTTCGACATATCCCGGCAGGGCTGGCGCTAATCCTGGGATGCCCCGGTGCTGGAAAAACTGCACTGAATGCATTCATCGCTGCAATGGCTCTCTCGGCCCCTATTCAAGAAGAAGTTGACGGCAAGACCGTTACCAGACCTGCAAAAGTTCTGTATCTTCTTGACGTAAATGCGCCGTGCGACGATGCGGCAAACCGGGTACACAAGACATGCAAGGAAGCCGGTATCAGAGCATCGGTCATTCGAGTTCGTGGATGTGCTCGTGAGATGAGCCGCAGCGTCAAACTGCACCCGCCTGCAAAGGGCCAGAATGACGTCGCAGGAGATGTCCCGGACTTTACCAGGGGCTTCCTCATGCAGTTTGAGACGTCGCGAGTCTGCAACATAGGCCCAGCTAGCATCGACAAGGCGCCATCTCTCGATGAAGCCGCGTGGAAGGCATTCGACAAAAAGAAGTCCCGTTACAAACAGCTTGCGCAGGCTCTCCAGAAGCTTGAAGGCGACGTCGTCAAAACTCGACGCACTTCCGCGGAGCTGAGAAGACTGGTCGCAAACCTGTACTTCGATGTTATTCGAGCTGCTGACTTCATCGCGACCACCCCTGTCGGCGCATCGGGGCAAATGGGTACTCTTTTCAAGCCAGACCTCGTGTTCGTTGACGAAGCAGCCCACGCAAGAGAGTTGACGTCTCTCATTCCCTTGGCATTCACTCCAGCTAGAGCATACATCTTCACTGGCGACACTCGACAGACCAGACCTTTCGTCCAAGGTGCATCTATGTCGACCAGAGAGGCAGGACAGAAGATGCTGAAGCTGAATCCATACGCAAAGCAGCTCATGATCAGCACGATGGAGAGAGCTGACCTTGCCGGCGCTCTCAAGAGCAAGCTGCTGATTACACACCGTAAGTCGCCCCTGCTTTTTTTGTCGCACTTGTTATCATTGCCTCTGTCGCCGTCGTCCGCCGCCGTCGTCGTCCGCCGCCGTCGTCGTCCGCTGTCGTCGTCGTCCGCTGTCGTCGTCGTCGTCGTCGTCGTCGTCGCTGCCCCTCTCTATTCAATGAAGTTAGGCTAATACGATCCAGGAATGTACGGAAATCTGCACATATTAGTGTCTGAGCTATTCTACGACGGGCTTCTGAAGTCGGGTATGGCATCAATCGATCGATACCCCCTTCCAGTACAACATATACAGATCTGGCTGAGCCAGTTCATGCCTGGCCGCCATTGTGTGGTTCCGCGAGTGATGATTCATTGCCACTCAGCTCGAGAAAAGACGGAATGCCGCAGCTTCTACAACCCAGCCCATGAGTCTTTCATCAAGCAACGCTGTCTGGAGCTTCTGAGCAACCCCAACTTCACTCGAGTCGATAGGCCTGACCAGCCTGGAAGAATACTGATCATCACCCCGTACAAGGCGGCATTCAACCGATACAAGCAGTTCACGTCCGTCCTGCCTCCCCACCTGCGTGGCCGCTTACATGCTGAGGAGATGCACAACGCGATGGAAGCAAGAACCGTCGACTCGGCACAGGGCCATGAGGCGGATTTCGTGTTCGTGGACACTGTGCGGACGAAGACAGCGGGCTTCCTCAACGACCCCAAGCGCCTTTGTGTGATGCTTTCGCGGGCCAGAGGCGGTGAGATGATTTTGATGAACGAGGGAATGACCACTTGCATGAGGTCTGGGTTCGAAATTCCTGCAGAATGGACCTCTCGTGTTTTCGAGCACTGCCGCGGCAATGGCCAGCTGTGCTACATTTGAGGTATTTGAAGGTGTGCGCAGGATATGGATGCGATGTGTGCCGTGTGGGATTGAAATGGGTAAAGCTAGTCAGTTTAGTTAATGAAGAATCCCGTCTCCTTGCTTTCACCCCTAGCTTATGAGAGACGACGAGAGACGAAGAGAGACGACAACAGAAATGGCAGAGATGGATATTGCCAAGAGGTCACCGCAGCCATCAATCATTGCAAATAAGAATAGTAGAATGACAAACATCGAGTATCGTGCTTACGAAGACTCGCCAGATCATCTTATCGCACCTGGGGAAATGCACGAGTGATGGACGTGATGCCAGAGCGAATTCTCTTAAGAACGCAGTTACTGCCAAGACAATCATCGGAAAGAGAAATTCCCATCTACGGATTCGCGATCAGTTCTATGCATATCAAGCGCCAAGGACGTCCCATCCAACGACGAGTACACCAAGTCGGCCGAGATGTCGTTGACATTGTGTGGGCGCACCGTATCGTATGCGGCAGGTAACCGCTGGGCCGGGTTCTGTGGCTATTTTAGCCCGAGACCTTGTCGCAGAATAAGCACCAATTTGAGTGCGCAGGATCCGCCGTGACAGGGGTCTGCTCACCATAAGGAGCGAGCCCCTGGAGATTTTCCCCAGTGTCCAGCTGGACAAGCAAAAGGGCAGTTTCCATAGGTTGGCACGGTTTGGCTGGCAAGTTGGAGGCAAGGGTGATGCTGTCAGTGTCAACGCATGTTGCGCGGACACTGTCGTCTCTCATGCCGTTCCTGCTGCTGTAAGACAGAGGTTTGAACACGATGAAACTTTGAGCACGTAAGATGGCCATCGTTTGGCATTTGACTCTGCTTGTGCTTTCTGCGGCAGCGGGAGGAAATGTTGTGCGGTAGCCGTATTCTCCCCGTGGCAGCTGCCGGCATCTCGGTCACGGATTGCGATCATCTCCGCTGAAGTATTCTGCCCACCTGAAAAGTACGGATAGTCCTAACGGTGATGGAGCTTGACCCCACCAACTAAGGGTTTTGACAGGGTCTGGTGCTCACGGAACATTCCTCACAGCGCTCCACGGTCGTCGCCCGCGGGAACCATGGCCAGTGGGTGGCTGGTGGCAGTGAGCAGCGGTACAGGATGACGGGGCACAACGGCCAGGACTCAGTTGCACTGAAAGCTTCCACCAGTCCTCGGAGAATCAAGTACCAAGTCCAAGGAGTCCAAGGCAGGGGTCGTGGAGAGGCCGTGTGGCGGGGCAGGAAATGGCGCTGCGGGCGATACGATTGGATCACTCGAGCCAATCCGCCGGAATTATGGGGGCAAATTTTGATAGCGAGATACCTGCACGTGGCCGCAATCTTCGCCTAGACCCGGCTTTTCTTGCTCTGCCCGGCCACCTTCGTCGGCGGTTTTCAGTCTTCACCCCACCAGCCCGCCTGAGCCACAAGTCGCTGCAATGTACCTCCTTACTCTGCAGCCGACGTGGAGGCGGGAGGCAACCCAGTCCGACCTTGGCCTGCCTGTGACCCTGAAAGTCCACTCCAACTCTCCCCGTACACTTGGAGGGTACAACGCCCGCGCTTTGGTGAGGCTGAAGACCTGCACCGGCCTAATTAATCCAAACTGCCCCCATTACACTGCTGACTTGAACTGCACCTCATCCGTTTCCTCTTTCGTGGGCTCATCGCCATCACGGCGACCGCTCATCCACAGCAAACCCCATCTCACCAGCTTTACTCACTACGAATCCCGTCGCTCGAGGACGCAGTATCGATTGCTCGTCCTCTCATCGCACTCGCCGTCTACGCCGCCGTCATCCGAGTGTCACAGGTCCCTGGGGGGTGGTTCATGTGGTGCAGCGAGTGCTGACGCGTGGTGCCTAGAATGGCTCCTCCCGCAGCCTCGTCTGAGGGCATTGCCGCCCAATCAGACCTTGGCGACACTGACGACACCTCATCATTAGCAGCTTCGATTGACATGGACCGATTCAGGCTTCGCGGACAGCCGCTGTCTCTTCACTCACGCTCGACACTGGAACCTCGGAGTGAGGCATTATCTAAAGGAGGTCTTGCCGGCGTTATTGTTGGCATCATTATCTTCTTCGTACTTGCTATCATTTGCGCCTACCCCTTCATAATCCGTCGCATCAAGGGCAAGAGAAATGGAACGAATCGTCTGGACACGGCGGAAACCGCCTTCATCCCCACGCCGCTCCGTCCATCGGGAAACGTGCCCACGACTGGTCCAGCTGCGTCTAGCCGCATGTCATCACGAGACTCATTGGGCAACAAGAATGAAGCTCTTCAAGGGCCGGACCGGCAGTCAACCAAGGAGCTAAACGTCTCGTCCCACGGCACCGACCCATCCAAACGAGATTTGGGAAGCTACCAACGTGGCTGTACTGGCGACGACAGCTCTCATGCACCAAGCGTTACCACCAGACGCGGTACTGACCACACCTTCGGCCGCGCCTCTACCTGGAAGAGCGAATCGTCCTATCCATGGACTCCTGTCGGCATAGAGCTGGTCGCTACTCGGGCTGACGGAATGGAATACTCGGATGCCACTCAAGGACACAGTGCTACTTACTACAGCCCGACCATCCCTTCTGAGGCCTTCGGCATGGTCACCCCGCCTCCCACAGATGAACCTGTTCCCGCGCAGCCGCCGAGGCGATCAAGCTCTTATGCCAGCTCCCTGGCGAAGAACCTTCTCCAAATGTTTCCCAAGGGTCGGTCAAGCACCAAGGATTCTCAGTCAAGGGGGGCAAAGATTCAGCCAACGCAAGAGTTATTGAGGGAGGGCTTGTCAGACTCGCCAACTCAGCTTACCGGGCCATTCTCCCGCGAAATAGGACCCGGCGCGACCTCCACGCGCGGACAGCTGGGCTCTCCATTCAACCCGCCTAGCCCCAACTCAGAGCCTGATCAGGCTCAGGAACCGGGAACCACAAAGGAAGGAAAGCAGGAATCTCCGCCAATTTTGCCGCCTGTGTCGCCTGCACCTGGAACTGTCAACCCCATGGATATTATGGCGCCGTCGAATTTGACCGAGCAGACCTGGCACACCAACCAGCAACTTTATAGCATTGCTCACCCGCCCCCCAAGCCTGTTGAGCCAGTCCTGGTTCCCGAGCCATCACAAGCGCCAACCCCGCAGTCCCCGGAGCAGCCTTTTGAGCACCACCAGCAGTACCTACAACAGCAACAACAAGATCAACAGCAGCAACAGCCACAGCAAATACAGCAACAGCAGCAGCAGCGATGGGATCAGACGGGGGTGGCGAATGGAGGACTTGTTGCGAATGGCAATGGACATGTCCAAACGAACGGCTTCAAAGCCCCGGCCGGTGGTCGTCCCACTGAACACGATGTCCGCATGAACGATGTGCCCCAGCAAGTTGATCCGACTCATCTTATGCCCGACCGGACCAACCACTACTACGAGGGCGAAATTACCGACCCGTCTGAACATTCTCCTCAAATGGGTGGTCACGTCTCATCCGGGGCATCGTATCAGACGACGCCGAACACCCAGATCGACAGTAGCCCATCGCCTCCGTCAGACAACAGCTCAGATATCCGCAACAGTGCCTCGCCGTATCCAGGTCTGCAGCAGCAATCTCCGCGCACATTCATGTGTGATGAGTGCGGCAGATTTTTCGATCAGGTTCATAAGTTAAAGTGAGTCGCTTCGAAGGCTGTTCGCCGTCCAAACGCTAATTGATATAGCCACCACAAGCGGTACCACGAGCGACCGCATGAATGTACTGAGCCAAACTGCGGCAAGAGATTTGGAACCAAAACCCATTTGGATCGCCACATCAACGACAAGCACAGGAAGACGAAGAAATTTCACTGTACGGTTAGCACTTGCCCTTACTCAAAAACGGGGGGCAAGTCATTCCCGCGAAAAGACAACTGGAGGAGACATATGGTCAATATTCACCAAGTTACGCCTATGGGCGATCCGGAACCCGATTTAGTCGACGAAATCATGGGAGGAACCTGAGCGTGGCGAGAGGGGCGTGCGCCCGGTCGACAGGTGCCAAATACTAGTTCATCGGAAGACGGACATTGACCCCAGCAAACGGTTGGGGTCCGATGCCCGAACGCGAACGGACGACGGACAATGCTTGGGAAGTGGTCAGTCGAGTATTTGACAGACGCGTGAACTTGCAAGCAGATTACCCCAGAGCCTCCCTGTGGCTCTGATACGCGGGTGCAAATGCTTGACTTCAGCAGAGCTGGATTCAGGTCGGCAACTCAAAGAGGAAGCCAAATCCCCGCGACGCTCACAGGCACCATTCTTTCTTGCCACAGAGCAACCTGTTTATATATCATTGGATATTTTCCCCTACGGTTTGGGAATATTAGGCAATCAAGGCACATTCGTTCAGGGACTGCGATGACAGCAGTAAGGCGTTTTGATGCCAAGAGTTGGCTGGGGAAACATGTAGAATAGGCCAAAAGCATCACGGTGGCGCGTATGATTAACTCAAATCTTTGATTAAGGACCTGACAAGTTTCTTTTGTTGGTCGATCGAGAGTCCACGCTCGTCTGTCTCCTGAATGGCTCTTCCCACCGCGATAATGACCTTGACGCTCTCGCTGTTCACCCAGATCTTGCCGTTACGGCCCACGGCCGTCTCGAACGCGGCGCCCGTCGCACCCAGCTCCTCCAGGACCACAAGGTCCGTCGTCTTGGGGCTCAGCAGACGACGCGCCATGCCAAGGGAGATGTTGAAGAGCATACCGCCCACGAGAGGTCCCAAACCGTCGGCCTTACCAGTGGACTGGTAGACGCACTCCAGCTCGGGGTCCATGTGTTTATTCGCAAGGGTGACGCGCGCGTAGACGAGGGCGCCTGTGTCAAGGTGAGGGCGGTTCTTCTTGGACGCCATCTCGAAAGCGAGTTGGGGGAGGATTGCAGGCGTCGAGTAGTCGGCCAAGAGGACGTAGTAGATTTCGGAGGCAGAGCGCTGGACGGTGCCGACGACGAGGTCGCCAACGGCGGGGATGTACTGTATTCATCCAGTCAGAATTGCCCATGGATCAGTCGAGAGAGATTGGACCTACCCTTCCGCCAGTCTGTTCAACCCATATCGAGTTCTTCTTGCGGTCTGTGACGAGCTTGCCCGCGATGGTCGGGACTATTTGACGAGGAGGCACATGGCGAAGGCCAGGACCAAGTCTGAGAGGAAGCTTCTGGTGGGACGGGATCAGAGACGCGTCAATCTCTTCGCCTGGGAGGACGAAGGGGCCCGCTGTAGCCATGACGAAAGCGGGTGACGACGAGAATGTTGAATTGGAATCGTCAAGTTCTGGGCCAAGGCGCTTCTCTCGGTCGCCTTTCAGCGGTCTTCTCACTGCCGATCAGCCTTGCAGAGGCTGGAAAGCTTTTGGCGGGGCACTTTCCAAATTCACACTGAATTTGATTGGGACACGACCGGGGGGTGTGGGGAAGGTACCCCGATGCCACTGGGCGAACAGCGAACGTGGGAATTTTTTTTTTCCCTTGCCCAAAATTTTGGCCTTGAACCCCCACCATTATCAACATTGAAAACAACCTCACCAAAGATCTCGACAGGATCCGCGGCAACTCTCGACACCCTACGTCCCCCGTCCGTCCCAGAGACTTTCAGATACCACCTATATACGCAACAACCCTTTGCGACCTATAATATAGCACAAATGGCAGCGAACGGTGACTCGCGCCCTGCGCCGGGCGACCGCACCGTCATTGGTATCACCTTTGGCAACTCCAACTCCTCTATTGCCTACACCGTCGACGAGAAGGCTGAGGTTATTGCCAACGAGGACGGAGGTGAGATCAACCGCCTGTTACACTAGGTTGTTTGTGTTGTAAAGAGCAGAAGTTCTAACGAATTGCCCGCAGACCGTCAGATCCCCACCATCCTCTCCTACGTTGACGGCGACGAGTACTACGGAGCCCAGGCCAAGAACTTCCTCATCCGCAACCCCGACAACACGATCGCATACTTCAAGGACTTCCTCGGCAAGGAGTATGTCTTGTGCTTTGAAATTGTGTCTTTCTATCTCATTTGGCTAACATGCCCGCACCAGGTTCAAGTCCATCGACCCTACCCACAACCACGCCTCCGCCCACCCCAAGGATGTCGACGGCACCATCTCTTTCACAGTAAAGGACAAGGAGGGTGCCGAGGAGCCCTCTACCGTGCCTGTCTCCGAGGTTGCCACCCGCTACATTCGCCGTCTCGTCGGATCTGCCTCCGACTACCTTGGCAAGAAGGTCACCTCTGCTGTCGTCTCCGTCCCCACGAACTTCTCCGACAAGCAGAAGGAGGCTCTCGTCAAGGCCGCCAACGATGCTGGCCTTGAGGTTCTTCAGATCATCTCCGACCCCATCTCCGCCGTTCTCGCCTACGATGCTCGCCCCGAGGCTGAGGTCAAGGACAAGATCGTCGTTGTCGCCGACCTTGGTGGCACCCGTTCCGACGTCGCCGTCGTCGCTTCCCGTGGCGGCATGTACACCATCCTGGCTACCGCCCACGACTACGACTTCTCCGGCAGCCACCTCGACCAGGTCCTGATGGACCACTTCGCTAAGGAGTTCATTAAGAAGCACAACGTCGACCCTCGCGAGAACGCCCGCTCCCTCGCTAAGCTCAAGCTCGAGTCCGAGTCCACCAAGAAGGCCCTGTCCCTTGGTACCAACGCCAGCTTCAGCGTCGAGTCCCTGGCTGACGGCTTCGACTTTACCTCCACCATCAACAGATTACGTTACGAGATGTCCGCCCGCAAGGTCTTTGAGGGCTTCAACCGTCTCGTCGAGGGCGTCGTCAAGAAGGCTGAGCTCGACGTTCTTGACATCGACGAGGTCATCCTGTCCGGCGGAACTGCCCACACCCCCCGCATCGCCGCCAACTTCGCCAACGTCTTCCCCGAGTCCACCCAGATCATCGCCCCCTCCACCGCCCCCTCCGCCATCAACCCCTCGGAGCTCGGAGCCCGTGGTGCCGCCCTCCAGGCTTCCCTGATCCAGGAGTACGAGGCCGACGACATCGACCAGAGCACCCACGCTGCTGTCACGACCGTCAAGCACATTGCTAACGCCATCGGTGTTGTCGGTGCTGACGAGGAGTTCGTCCCCGTTGTCCCCGCCGAGACTGCCGTCCCCGCGCGCCGCACCATCCAGCTGTCCGGCCCCAAGGACGGCGGCGACGTCCTCATCCGCATCGTCGAGGGCGGTGCCCACATCAAGGTCACCAAGCCCGAGCCCAAGGCCAAGCCCGAGACCAACGGCGACGATGAGGACTCCGACTTCGACTCCGAGGAAGAGGAGGAGGAGACCCGCGAGAAGATCTGGAAGGTCGGCCCTACCCTGGCCGAGACCGCCGTCCGCGGCGTCGGCAAGGGCTCCAAGGTCGAGGTCACCATCAACGTTGCCGCCGACCTCGGTCTCACGATAACGGCGAGGGAAGTTGGCGGAAAGGGCGGTGTCCGCGGTACCGTCAAGGCTCCTTAGATGCTAGACGAAGGGAGAAAAGAGCAAATGTAGAGAGAAAGACACATAAATCGTGTGCGTTAGCCAGGCGCAATGTGGTGGTTAAAAGAAGGGGAGGGAACTCATCTGTCAGGTCCTCCTTATTTCAGCATAGATACATGGATTTTATATGGCGGAGGGTGGGGGGAAATGGATTGGAACGAAATCACTGGGAACATAGACGAGAGAGGCAAAACGCATGAATGAGAAGAACGTCAAAAAGTGATGAATTACTTGTTACCAACTATGTTGCTGCCTCATATAGTGAAAAGGGGAGGATTCAACGAGCCTCGTCTGTCCTGGGCACGAATGCAAACCCACAACTAAATCGCCAACGCAATATGCAACAGTGTTGTCTTAAAGATAGCTAACGCTGGAAAGGAAGGAACAAATAACATGGTCGCTGATGCATCCATACGCCCTGCTGACTGAACAGAATCCGCCGATATATAGTAAAGAGAGTTGCCGAGTGCGCCTCAATCATGCCTTACGACACAGCGCCAGGGAGCCTCCACGCCACAAGATCGTCCCGTACATCAAACTCCTCCAGCTCCCTGTTCCTTCGGGAGTCGCGCCCGCGGTCGCTGCTGCCTATCGTCGGCGCAAGGCTCGCCATGCTCCCGCTCCGGCTCCTCGAGCGCGGGTACCCGCTGCGTCCGCCGCGACCATCGTCGTCGCGAAGCTCCCTGCGGCCATGCCGAGACCCGCGGCGGCCGATGCCGGCGGTCGTGCTGCTCGCGCCGTCGTTGGCGCGGGCTGTGAGGACGGTGGTGAAGCTGCGGTCGCTGGAGCCGCTGTTGCTGCGGGAGTGGTTGCGGGCGTTGCCGCCGCCGTTTTGGTGCAGGTGGAGCGTGAGGTGGTGGTGGTGGTCCTGTTTCTGCTGCTGCTGTTGTTGTTGCTGCTTCTGGCGTTCTTGTTTTTGCTGTAACTTGCGCAAGTCTGACGGGCGCAGAGTGCCCATGCCGCCCTCGTCGGAGCTCAGGGAGCCGTTGTTGTCCAGATCGAAGGTCGCGGTCTTGCCGGTGCGGCCGGTCCTACCGGTGCGCCAGCCGTCGCCACCGGAGAAGATGTCCTCGATGCACTCGTCTGCGGGGAGCTCACCGGGCTGGCAGGACCAGGAGGCTGCGAGGGCGCGACGGTACATGTCTTGAACCTCTGACGCGTCGCGCGACTTGGCCATGGTGGGAATTTCTGTGAAGGTCAGCGAGGAATGCCAAGGGTTTGCGTTAAGGGGTAAAGGGCACATACGCCCTGCATCGTCCTGCTCGACTTGCTCGCCTGCCATGATGCCGGCGATTCCTCCAAAGACGGGTGCTGTTCTCAGCGGCGGCGCAGAGTACCCCTTGTCGCCATCCAGCTGTTTCATGAAAATCCCTATCTTCAAGGTACTGTTGATCTTGCTGTCCTGCATGAGGTAGCGCCTGACGATACCGTCCTCGACATCAGGGTCCTCCAGGATGGGGGCTTTCATCGACTTGGGACTCGTGCTTGCGGTGCCGCTGCTGCGCTTGCGCGCGTGGCCGCGGTCGAAGCTGCTACTCTCGCGGGTGAGGCCATCGCTCTCCTCGACGTACTCGCTGAGGTTCAGCTGCACCTTGCCGAGCGAAATCTTTTCATCGTGGCCGCCACCGGAAAACTCTTGCAGTACTTCAAACTCGACGGGGCACTCGGTCAAGTTGTTGTTCTTGTCGATGCTGATCCGGATGTGACTGACTACCTTTTGGTAGTTGTACTCGACCTTGTGGTTGGAGATGGGGCACTTAGGAGTGCGGCCCCGATGCTCAGCGATGATGGAGTGAGAGAGGTGCCATTTCACTATTGATGTTCCAGACACCAGCGGGACGTTGTTTAGGTCGTAGATCTGGGAGATGTTAGCCAGGAAACCTTTGGTATAACAAGCTAGGTATAGCTATTGTGGATGGTGTTCGCAAACCTTTAGGTGTAGCTCAAACTTTGGCTGCGTCACAAATTGTTAGCACGCTTATCGTTCGTTGAGTGGTCCGAATGCAGAATGCACATCCTCCACTTTCCGAGGGATTGAGTTTCTCATGACAGAATGTGGGTACAGACGAATGCTTTACCTTTCTGTTCTTATTGACTGTGGGAAGGAAGCCCCCGTTAGCAAAGCTCTTGAGAGGACTCATGATGAGCGAGTGATATTCTAGGTTGACGGTAGAGAGTTGTGGCCGGAGCGGGAAGCAAAACGAGGCAGGGACTCAAAAGCCCCGAGCCCCCAAGATAGGACGTAAATCAAGGGAGAGACATGGGAATGGCAATAATAGGTGGTTAGGATGCTGCAGTGACGACGGTGAATGAGTGAGGCTGGCGAAGCCACCAAGAAAGCCACCAAGTCCTTGTCTCAGTGAGATCTCAGCCTCATGGACAGGCTCAAGCGTTGCCAACCACGTGGGGGTTCAGGAATGAGGGGCCCGATATAGGATAAAAAGGGTAAGGTGAATAACTGGACAGCGAGGCCGAAAAAAAGCCCAGCTCGACGACATAGGACGAATGACGGTTGGGAATAGGGCAGAGGAGGGAGGGTGTAAGGGCTTACTTAAGGAAGCCATGTTTCACGGAAGGCATGGCTGGCTGGGCTCCGTCCGTTGGGGGCGAGTTAATAATACTTTGCGGCCCGGAGTGAGGACTGCACCCCTTCGGAGGGGGAAACAGGCAATGAGTGAGCGCGCGGGCGGCAGAGTTGGTGCGGGCAGGTGCAAGGACAGGCAGGGACAGGCAGGCAGAGGCAGCGACAGCAACGGTCAGACTGTCAGCGGCGTTCGTTCGGTTTCGGTATGATCGGATAATACGGTAGGTACGGCGAGGGGGACGGTCAGGTAAGGTAGGGAGAGGAGGGGGGCGGGATCGTAATGTGGCTAGTAGATAACGGGATGCCGCCGCCGACCAACTTCACCGCGACCTTGGTTTTCTTGATGGATGCCCTTTGGAGGAAGGCTCAAGATTGCATGCAAGGTCAGTGGCCAATCAGCCGTGCCTGGCTTTGTGTGTTTGGTCCGGCAGTCGTCGTCCGTCCGTCCGCTCAGTCGGTCGTATTGAATGCGAGTAGTATCGAGATGTGACGAGTGGGTTGGCAGTTTCAGCGCCTTCAACCCCGTATCTGTCAATGGCGCGGATGGAGTAAAATTACTCAGCCAACAAGGGTGAAAGCAGCGGCCGAGACAGATGCAAGACTCGATATTTGGCGGGCGGGCGTCGTTGGAAGGTAATAAGGGTTCTTGCAAGAGTCGTATAATTATGCAGTCCTTGACCGATGATGAAAGAAGAGAGTTTGGACGAGGCCAGGCGAATACGTAACTCATCCGGTGTATTGGGAGCTTGCCCAGCCATGCCTGCATCCATCCCCGGAGTCCGGGCGGCCAGCACCGCGTTGGGCTGGGCTGGACTCGCTCCAGTGTAACGAGCCACAATGGGGTTTCCTAATTATCGCCTCCTAGCCTGCGCCACAGCAGGTCGAAATCCATTGCCGCAACACTAGGCTTTATCCTAGGACAGTCTTTGTGAGCCTGTTGATTTCTCGGTAAAATGCGAAGGTCGAGGTTGGCGACACCATCACGACCGTCAGAAATGCCTGTTTCGGCATCTGGAATGGGTGAGTTATTCTTGGAGGATTCTCTCACTCATCCCGTTTGAAGTTCGGCATTGCAGCCGTGTACGTAAGCATCTCCAGCGAGCCAAGCGCTGAAGCGAGGCCTTCTTCAGTGGAACTGCCCCTGTGGGACGACCACGACTCAAGCCATCTGTTTATTCCATTTCACTCTGGACCTCTTCGTCGGAATAATTTCTCGAAACAGTGCATGACTACTTGCCAAAACACCCATTACATTTGTTTAGTCATTGATCTGTTTCCGGTTTACCTCTCTTCACTCTCGTTCTCTGTTGGTCGCTGTCAATCGTTGTCGCCGGAGATCATCAACATTATGATGCGGACTCTCACCGATTTGCTCTCAGAAGATCAATTTCCCCCGCGATTCTAAGGAAGCCAGAATTTGGCTTAGACGTTCCATCTCGCCTTCCTATAGGAAAAAATCACGCAATCTCCCTTCTGGGAATGCAGAGTGAATGTGTGTAGTGGATCGTCTTCTCGTATCCAGTCTCACTACCTGGTTCTAAGATCACAGCGTCTGCTCAACCTCATGCCGTGGTTCCCTCGTATCAACTTACTCACCAAAGAACACCAAATAGCAACAAGCATCACGAATTGCTCCAGGCACCTAACCGAAGATAGGCGAAGTGGTCTACCGTACTGCAGCATACAGACAAGGTCAAGCCCTCTAACATCCCGAACTTTGATTCTCAGGTACGCGAATCGGAGAACCAGTGATGATGCTGCTCCTTCCCCAGAAGCACCAGGGTGCCGCCCTGCTTCAAAGGCCCCCAACAATTCGGAACTGACCGCGACATGCGTCAAGACGAACACCTTCCCGCTCTTGTGTGTCTGTATGAGGCCATTAGGGAAAACACGAGATCGTATGGCGATGCAGCATCCAAGACATACCACCACCAGGGCGCCCAGGCGTCAAAACCGCCCATTCCAGACCCTTCGTGAAACTCCCAAACAGCCTCGAGAATCAAGTGATCCCGGGTTTTCATCGCAGGAGGGGCCAAGGGTCAGCCAACCGCCCAGCAATCCCGCCCCGGGGCACGCTACCCGTCAACCCTCCCGTCCGAGTGACGCAGTGCCGGCTCCACAACTCACTCAACATCCCAGTTGTGGAAGTGTTCACCCCAAGCACGAAGAAAAAAGAATTCTCCGAGCCGCATACGTCATACCATCATCCAAAACCATAGCAACAGTCCCCCCCCAGAGGAAGCTATGTCATCTCCTGCATCAGAACCTGCTTCGGCGCGCAAAGGAGGGATGAGAGGGAAATGAGACAACCACGCGCGCCGCCACACACGGCCCCAGGCAAAAACCGAGCAAGCGCTCGCAGCCACCACGTTTTCCAATTTGGGGCTGGCAAACCGTCGACCCAGCACAGATTAAGCACCATGACATGACCGTTCTCCAATCAACAACGGGTCGTCTCTGCTCCTCGCCCATCTCCTACTCAAACGAGCAACCTCCCACTCGGGTGAAAAAAAACAGCGCCGCTTTTACCCATCACCACCACCACCCTCCACCACCATCCACACTACTACAGCACCACCACTACTACTACGATAAGCTATAAAGCTTTCGATACGCTAAAAAAAGTGCGTTTATAAAACGCTTATAACTTCCTTAAAACTAAGGGAATTAAGTATAAAAAAAAAGAACTTTTTTATATTTTTTAGTATTAGAGAAGTAAGGTTATAAAATACTAGCTAACTATAAGAGCTTTAATTATATATATTATTATAATCCTAATTTATCTAAAATATATAGCTATAAATACTACTATAATAATATTAACTTTAATATAGTTAAAGCTTTATATAATATAGAAAGCTTTAAAGCTAAATATTTATTATAAGAGGTATTACTTTTAGAAGTAAGTATTCTAAATACTACTTTATATATAATTTAAAAGTTATTTAAATATTAATATATTAGTAAATATATTATAAAATAAGTTACCTATATTAATAAAAATATTATTAAGAAACGCTTTAAATATACTAAAGAAACTTTATAACTATAGCTTAAGCTTTAATATTAGTATAATTAAGTATTTAGTAATAAATACTACTTTAGCTTTACTAATAAGCACTTAACTTATATTACTTATAAGCTTAATATATATAATAACCCTTTTAATCTCTAAAAACACTAAGAACTTAATAATAATAATAAAAAAGCTATTTACTACTAAGAAGTAATTAGCTATAAGTTTAAAAATAATTTAATATAATATAATATATTTATAAATTATAATAAAAAGATAAGCTAATAGGTCTATATTAATATTATACTTAAACTTTATATTAAGCTATAGCTCTAAGAAGTTTATAATAAAAGTAAATATTTTACTCTTAAAAAGGATAATAACTTAAACTATAAACTAAATAAGAGTAATAAAGTAAAGGTTTAGAAGGATTATAATAGCCTTAATTACTAGTTTAACTACTTAAAAAACCTTAATCTTTTACTTATTAAGAATATATAATCTATCTTAAAGTAATATATTTATAGTATACTTTACTAAGATAAAGAATACTTAAAAAAGCTTATAAAAATAGCTTAATACGATCTAAATTAAGATATTATTAATAAATAGATTAAATTAATATTAAAGCGTCTTAAATATATAATTATACTAGGAGGTAAGATAACTAGCTTCTAAATTAACGGTATTAATAGTGTAGTAGTAGTGCTAGCAAAAGCAGCGCTGTTTTTTTTCACCTGAGTACCTCCCCATCAACGCTGGACCAACAGCCCTGCAGGCTAACGTCAGGAGGGGGCATGGGGGCCACCTAAAACGTCTTTTTCCACACACCTTAATCCATCATCGTCCCGGCCGGTGCGTTTTGTCCGGGCGAATCCAGTCGTGTGATTGAAATCCGTGGGCCCTAGAGACGCAGTCACAATGCTCGGATCGCCGCCCCCTGTGGCCTTTTTGCGGTGTTTTCAACCCTCCCTCGTGGCTACCTAAAATGAAAAATTTCCTACAGAGTACGTACATTGCCTGAAGGAAGCGGGAATCGAAAGGGAGAGGGACAAATGTCTGATGTATCACGGGGAGATTACCCCATTGACGTCACTATGCCGTGCGCCGTAAGTAGATCTCCTGCAAACCTCTACCGCCAAGATACCTCTTTCCGCGCCAAATTTCCCAAGGGGCGCCATACAGATGGCCCAATTTGTCCGATAAGGTGAAATCGACGATGGCCCTTCGCATTTTGGGCGGCGGCCGGCCCCACGGTATGGTGTCACCAGTCTGCGCTCTGTGATGTAAGGTGAGGTAAGAGCCTTGTTCCCTGTCACCCTGGCCTGGAGTACGCTCCGGTTGGTTCTAGTGTCGAGTGTTCGATCGTGTATATAAGACCATCCTTTCTTTCGACGATACACTTTCTTGAACAGCTCTCCAGAACAACAACATCAAACAAAAACAAGCACACTTCACTTGAAGTCACAACCTCCTGTCAAACACAAACAAATCTCCCATTTCAACCAATCTACACAAACCGCAACTATGGGCGCCGTCGTCTCTTGCGTAAGTTCAATCTTCCATCAAACCCAATGGCAGAATTTAATACTGACGAAATATCCAAACAGATCCAATCGGTCTTCCGCACCATCGGAAACTGCCTGACCTCCGTCATCTCTGGCATTGGCGGTATCCTCCACGCCATCATCGGTGGCATTGTCTCCTTCTGCAACATCATCATCAGCTTCCTGACCTGTGGCTACTGCGGTCGTCGCGGCGGAGGCGGACGTCGCTCCCGTCACACCACCACGACTAGAAGTCGAGTCTGAGCGGGCCCTCGTCTGTAAATCCGAAGAATCACAGCACAGATGAGGGAGACTTGAGATCAATGTCATAAGCATGGACATTGTACGATTATGGAATTTCACGCGAGGGGGTGAGGACGGAGGTGGTGGATGATTCACTTTTACGACTGCGGCGAGCGCGAACAGCTTTGACAGCATACCCCCCACGTTTTCTTTGAAGATACCCACGATACCTGGTTAGCTTAGCTTGAAATGGTATTTTTACATCCAAATTTGTGCCGTGACCTGAACATGGTTTGTTGTGATGCCTAAGTTGTGGGTTGGGACACATCATCTGCCGTCTGATATTTTTGCTCGGGCAGTATACGAACCATGCAGGTCGTATGCTCCGACTTGATTGCTGAATTGAGAATAAGAATAGTATTTAGTATATAGCTCATGATTCAATCTTCCAACACATTGCGATTGAAAAATCCATAAATCTGTCGCCCAGCTTCCTTCCCCACCATCGGCTCAAGCTCCCGCTCGTTCAAGTTCGCCACTTCTCTCAAATTCTCCGTGGCAAGCACCAATCGCATGATATTTTTAGGATTGACACCCGGTACGGCAGACAGCATCTCCTGCGGCTCGAGATTGAACGATTGGTCCTCTGCCTTCATATCCTTGTCTAGCCCAGCGCGTACCGCAGCGATGGGATCCGGCTCATCCTCCTGCGACTTCAACGACTCAAAAATCTCGGCGGTCTGATACGGCGACGACGACCAGATGATTCGCAACTTTGGAAACGCGAGCGTGAGCAATACGAGCTTCGACTGCAGGTCGGACGATACATTAGTCGGCGCAATGCTGTTTAGACTGCCAGAGAGGTCGGCAAAAGGCTCCAGCGTGAAAGATTTGTTCTGGTCGAATTCAATGAGGAGCATTGGGTTCTTGTAATGTTGAAACATGGTCTCCGCCTGCGCGTACAGGCGGCCGTCCTTAAAGGACGAGATGAGATCGCTGATGGACTTTCGTTCGACGCAGATGTTGGGCGATAGAACGTAATCGCCCACGGTCAACATGCAGGGCACGATAATCATGGAGCGCCCGTGGAGCAGTGAAGGTAATGAAGAGCGGAACTCTCTCACATCAACCACCACACGCGGCGGCTGCGCTGTTGCGGCCAGTCGGCCGCCGCCTGCAATTCTGGTGTTGATCGTACGGAGGAATGCTTCCTGCGGGTCCTCAACCCCGTGAGGATCTACAGTCATGACCAACGACATGGACGCTCGCTCCTTGATCAGCTTGGTAAAGGCGTCCTTTTCTCGTCTAACGCTGGAGAGATAGCGTTGCTCCTCGACAGACTCGCCATAGTAGAGGAAATACACGCGGACATTTCTGTCGTTGTGCGAGGACCGGTAGACTTCCACTCGACGGATGAAGGCGGCATCAGGTTCGTACATGATGATGTACCGCGGCTTCACCTCCTCCAAGACGTGTTCGTCATGGTCTCCGTCATATGCGTGAATAACGACGAGATCCTGCATCTCGTAGAGTTGGTAATAGTCCTCCATGTTCTCCAGTGGGTCGGTGACGATCTCCGGTTTCTGTTCGGCTTCTTCTTCGGTGATTTGAACCTCCGCCATGAGGTCTTCCACCTCTCCTGGCCGCTCAAAGAATTGCATGATGCTGCCATTCTCGGCTCGCGTGAGGGTTTGTCCACCAGCCCCGCCACCTCTCATACGCCTCCGCTTGTTCGACTTCCCTCTGAGCGGTTGACCTGCCCTGTCAGTTGCGCCATTCAGAGCTTTCTGATTCTCCGAGAAAAGTGTTGCGTTGACCTGGGCAAACTCCTTTTTCCATCGAAGATAATTGCGCAACTTTCTCCTCATCATGAAAGCTGCCGATGGCTGGTCCCCGTCTTCTTCGTCCTCCGCAGATGGATCCTTCTCAACCTTGGGCTTGAAATGCATCGTCTGCAGGTAGTCGCGGAGTTGTCTGCAGGTGTTTGTGTCGCCGCACATGATCAGGATGGTTCCATTAGAATCATCACGGGCTGGAGGGTCGAAGTGCATGCTATTGTCAATCTCTGTCAGAACATCTGCCAGCCAAGCCCATTTTGGTTGTTCCTCGAGCACAGGCTTGAGGGAGTCGATGTTGGCGTCTGCCGTGGCCGCCTTTGAGCTGGCTGCGTAGACTCTCCTTCGAGCAGTCTCAAAAATCGTTTGCGCGGCGTCAAGAAAAAGCCATGGAGACTGGTTTTGACGCGTTGAACCCGGAGGCGGTGAATGCGCCGCGTGGATTGTATCCAGGTGCTGGAGAAAGGAAACGGCGTCGAGTGTCAATACTGACGATAACATGCCACGCAGAACGCTCAAATCGTTAACAATCTGCCGCGTCTTCCAGCTGACTCGGTGCCAGTTTGGATCGAGCTGTCTCCGGATGATAACATCAAAGTTCTTGTGCAAGGCGCTGTCGAGATTCCAATCTTCCATCTCCAGACCAGTATTTCCTTTCTTCAACTCGTGGATGCTGACTTCAACGCACTCAAGAATGGAGTTCTGAATGTCTCGCATAGCATCCGTCATGGTGATGTTCAGCTCAATGACCTCTGCCGTCTTCTTGCCTTCCAGCGACTGGGCTACTGTGACATGAAATCGCGGCCATAATGATGCTTTCTTGAGAAATAGGTTCCTCATCATAGTAGACAATGGCGAAAAGCCCGTTGAAAATGGATCCGGATTGTCGGCAAACGCCTTCAAGAAGCCGGCCTTGTTTTTCTGGCGATAGATTCTCAAGATGAAGGCCTCAAGGGATGTCGCAACGACACGATCGGCGTGCAAGACCACGAGACCAGTCACTTTCTCGGTGTCGAGCAAATTCGTCAGTAGGTCGACGACTAAAATACGCGAGGTGATGCTGAAGATCCCGCCACGTGCGTACATCTTTTCTCTGGCGCCGACGCTGGTGAAGTCGGTGTTGACGACCGTGAGCCCCCTGGCGTTAGGGGACATGCTGATCGCGGCGTGCTCCGCGAGGGCTTCTCCGATCCAGTTGTTCTCACGGTCCTCCGCGCCGACGAGAATTATCAGATTGTTTCCTGCAGCATCATAGGAATGAAGCAGATTGGTGACCAATCGCATCAGCCCCAGCCCGCGGGCAAGTACGACAAGCTCATCTTCATTTCTCAGCTCTTGAAAGAGGTTTTGTTGGTATTCCTAGACAGGTATCAGCAGCGATACGTGACTTCGTGCGAGCAAGCGACTGACAAGGGGCAATGATAGCTTCACGGGCTGAGGAGCGTTGGCTGACATGATGCACCATGCTGGAGAGGAGGAGCGTCGGTAGTAGGTCGTGTTGGCGTTGATAAGAATCAATGGCTGAATTCGGATAGGCCTTTGATGATGCCTGGCCCAGGACGTACCGTGTCGCGCACTGTCCAAAGGCCTGTGTCCAGCAGGATCGGCCTCCAGTGGGATGATCTAGCACTGTGCGCGTAGGCAGGCCACTTCATGAAATCACCCGCTGGTTGTACCTTCCATGCAACCAAGCAATTGACGGAAGGGTATCATGGGTACCCAATTTCGAGGTTTCTCTTGGCTGCAAGTAATTGCGCGGTATCAAAGCTTCCCTGAGTTTGCTCGGACTAAGCCTCATCTTTTTGATCACTGTTATCTGAGTGTTGCTTAACAGTTAAGCTTAATAACTTAGAGCCCGGCTGTTAATGTTTTCACAACCAATGTTGGAGTATGCAGTCTTCAGCACTCGCTTCAGGCAAAGGTGCCTCAGCAAGGCCTGGATGAGCAACCTTTGGATATTGCTGCGCCGATCTCTAGCTTCTTCATGCGGCTACTGATCTAGAATTAGAGACCGCCATCATGCCATCTGTAAGGCTTGGCATGGCCAAGATCTGATGTTGGATCTTCAACCTCAGTCGTCATTAGCGCCAACGCCATCTCGACTCGAGGTGATCTGGAACAGTGACTGGCAGACAAACTCGTGGGGACTATGGAGACTACGTGTTGTCACTGGAGAGTAGCACCGTCTGTCAGGTTTCTGGCTCATCCTCTTACACGTTAGTGGCCGCGTGATATGCACGTAAGTCGCCGGTGACGCGCAGGACTCTTTTGGCAAGCATCTCCATCTCTCTACTTCCATGTGGATAGGGCGGCTACGGACGGACAATACAGATGTAAACAGCTGATGCCATCCGAAGCACGGTTTAGCACGTAGTCACTGCTTGCAAATTGGGAGGCCTTCCAGGTAAGCGGGGATAGGATGTTTGGGGTCGTCCAGTCACCTTCGCTTTCCCCTCAGTTAGCAGAACGACGTCATCAGCCGTCGCAACCCTCCACGTACCGCAGGCACGCCTCAACTCACATGTAAGCCTCCGACGAGATACTTTATAAACAGCCCTTCGTCCCGCTCGTTCTTACCTTGCTTCTGCCCAGACAAGACACCACCACCTTTCAAAACCAAACCTCAAACCAAACAAACAACTCAACCAATAATCATTCACAATGGCCGACAAGGTTAAGGAACTCGTTAACAACATCACCAAGGGCAAGGTAAGCGAACTCTTAGCCCCTAAAATAGAATCAAGCATCAGACTGACCTCCGAACAGGACTCCGAGAAGGAGAAGGAGTTCAGCGTCCAGCCCATTAAGGAGGGCGGTGTCGACCCCAAGTTCGCTGCCCACCAGGCGCACCCCGGCCCCGCCGTGCCCAAGGACTTCAACGCCCAGGAGGAGGGCACCAAGGAGGAGCGTAGAGCCAAGGCTGAAGCTCTCAACAAATAGAGAAGAAGTCAGCATTTGACTATTCATGATGTATGATCACAAATGACACTGTAGAATATGGGTCACGGAGGCGGCACCCGGGATGGGCACGGAGCCTTCGGAATTGGGCGGCGGATAGCGTCGTAATGCTCCAAATGAATTCATGAATCGATTCCCACATAATTTGAGACCGGTGAATTGGCGTGGCTATCCCGGATGATCAAATTCGCGCAGATCGCGACAATATCGAATCGTTTCTTTGCGATG